AAAAAAAAAAAAAAAAAAAAAAAAAAAATTAACATATATATATATATATATATATATTCTTTTAATGGGATATTTTGTAAATTTTTGTTGTTATATTAAAAATGTTTTAATTTTTTCTTTGTTTACATTATTCACAAAAATATATATATTTAAGGAATCTATATTGTAGATAGAGATAAGATTATGTTGTGTTCTTCTTCCATTTTAATTTATTGGACAATGACATAAAAATACATTCCACCATCCATCTCGGCTCCACGTCTTATTCTAAAGAAAATTTATTTCATGTCACGTCCCGAACTAATTTTAGTTTCTCAATTAAAAATATTCTTTATTATGTGCTAAAAAGAAAAAATAAACGAGGGATAAAAACATCTTCGTATTTTTGTGAATTTTAAGAAAAATTAAAGTAAATATTAAATTTAAAATTTTAAAATATATAATATTTGAAATTTAAAGATTAAATAAAAATTATGTTTCTTGATGATAATAAGAATATTGTTGGTGTTACAAAAAGTAGAAGCAAATATATTCGTTTTGGTTGAAAATTGAAAAGAATTTAGGCGTAACAGACAATATTAAAGTGGTGGGAAAATTGAGAGAGTAGGAATGTATTGGATCTCATTTTCATCATTATTAATACAAACACTAAATAATGCAATATGCAACGTGGATCGGGTGCCCTCAACATTCTCTTGTGATATGGTCATGTTACCTGTTCCTCGCTTATTGAGAGTGAAGACTATTCTTACATACCAACATGAGTTTCGAATGAATATCGATATTTCCCTGTGACATGGTCACATTACCTACTCCTCGCTTCTTAACATGAATCATTCCACATATCTCTCATTTATTCGAAAATAGAGAGGGGAGTGGATGATAATGGATATTAAGAGAAGCAAATGGATGTCCAATTCCACATATCTCTTCTTATTTATTCAACTTGGATTTCAATGGAATCTTTGAGTATCTCCATTTACTCTCCTCTTCTATGTATGTTGGTCAACAAGCATGCTCATATTATTATTCATTACATGACCATTCATTATTTCACACGTGTACATTCATTAATTTCACGTCTTGTCTACAAAGATTAACACAGGTCATTCACGTGTTCTCTAATGAAAACTCTCCAAAGGTCACTCGGTATAGGATTGCTTCAAATAAAGCATATTTAACTTTGGAGTTCCCATGATTAAGCTATAAAATACGAAGGTAAATTTTGTTGGTATAGATAATAACTTTTGATTCTTTTAAGTATTTTTTAGTCATTTTATTCTCAAAATTGCTTGGTATTATTATGTAAGATCTCATATCAATTAGAAGGGAGAACGAAACATTTCTATAGAGTGTGGAAACTTTTTCCTAATAGATATGTTTTACAACCGTGAGGTTGATGGTGATGCGTAACGGGTCAAAGCAGACAATATTTACTAGTGGTAGAATTGAGCTGTTACAAATGGTATCAAAACTAGACACTGGTGGTATGCTAGCGAGGACGGTGGCCACCAAGAAAGTGAATTGTGAGATCCCACATCAGTTAGAGAGAGAAACAAAATATTTTCTTATAAAGGTGTGGAACCTCTACTAATAAATGAGTTTTAAAATCGTGAGGTTAATGATGATCCGTAACGGGTCAAAACGAATAATATCTACTAGCAGTGGACTTGAACTGTTATAATTGGAACACTGACCTCTTTGGTTTAGGGTTTAGAGCAGCAGGAAGCACAAGCATGTCATTATTTCAAAGGTGAAAAACATATAGCTTCAAGTTCCAATGTGTACGGTCTATTTGTGTAGGGACGCTCCATCACCATTTACTATATAAACTAATCTTTAATATACTTTAATTAAAACCATTTACTTTAATTAAAACGCTAATCCGAAATGGCTGAATATATATAATAGAGAAAGGGAAGAGCACGACGAAGTGTCGGAGGGAGTGGGGCGGTACACGGCGGCGCCGTACATCAAGGGGGACAATCTGATCTGATCTGATCTGATAATAATATGAGGATAGATGCATACAATAATGAGATGAGACAGGTTGTGGGAGATGAAGTGATTGAGAACTCTTAAGTGCCTGCGGCTGCCGCCGCTGCTTCGTTTTCGACGTCGGATTTGATTCGAAGACTTCGTGATGGCCTTCTTCATTTCCAATCAATCAAGCTCTCTCAGTGCATTTTAATGGCTTCTCTCCGTGTCGCCCTCTTTCTCGTCTCTTTGATTTGATTCTCACCAAACCAATTTATCTCAAAAGTCATTTGCATTTGCTATCAAACTCATACTGATAAATTCACAGAGAACACAAAATGGCAAACTTATTCTATAGAAATGGAGGCCATACACATAATCAAACTACAGTCCATTGGCACCGCCACCACGTACGTCGGTCTATTTGTTCAGCAGCAGCAGCAGCGTAGCTACAAACGTTGTCATCGAGCTACTTTGTTGAGAGCGAACCTCGATGAGAAATAATCTGCTAGCAGCTGTAGATCAAAGTAGTTTGAATGAATGTCCATGTAATTCTAGCTTTACAGAAGAGTGAAGCATTGATTATAAGAGGTGGAAACCTTTTCCTACTAGATGCGTTTTAAAACCTTAACGGGTTTTGGGGTTGTTATAAATGATATTAGAGCCCAAACACTGGTCGGTGTGCTTGCAAGGACACTGGGCCCCCAAGAAGAGTAGATTGTGAGATCCCACATCAGTTAGAGAAGAAAACGAAACATTGCTTATAAAGGTGTGGAAACCTCTTCCTACTAGACGCATTTTAAAACAGCTCGAAAGGGAAAGCCCAAAGAGAAAAATATTGATTAGCGATGGACTTAGACGGTTTAGAGTTACACGTTAGCAAAAGTTTTGTTTCTAGTTATGTTCATGACAAGGTTAAATCGACTGCGTAGTGGAATCGACTGCGTAGTGGAGAAAACAGAAGATTCAACCAGGTAAAAAGTTAGGAGTTGAAATGACTAGCCATTATTGTTATTTGTAGCAGAAGGGTCCTTGGAATCCATACTCATTGAGCCTTCAAATTGAGTATCAAACACAACTCAGAATAAGCATGGAAAGGCAGTGTTAGCCCTTCAAACAACCACATTTGTATGCCAACCACGACGTCTTGTTGCACGAACCGCCTTCACAGTCGACCCATCGACAAGCTATACAGCAACAAGAAAGACATCAAGTAAATAAGCTTTCATATTCACCAAAAACATAGGATTGGTCATTACAAACGAATATCGATTCATTAGTTCTTAGTTTGGTCTGTACGCCCAATGGAGGGGTCGAAAAGTACCGGGCAAGTTAGATTACGTGGCATCAACGGTAAAAATCTAATGCCTATCAGCATTGTTCAAAGCAGTGAGATGTTCAATTCTAGTACCATCAGATATATGATCATAATAATCAAGATCAAGACCCATAGAACCTTGAATATGATGAATATGTACTCATCCAAATAAGTTAAATCCAACAGGGCCTTTATCATCTGCACATGGAGTTTCGAAGACATCTTTGTTCTTAGCTGCAACCTTAGCTATAAGCATTGTTGATGTGTTTCATATCTTCGGCCAACTTTACCATTAAATTTATGTGTCGCCTTTAACCAAAATCTTGTCAGACCATCACGTAATACCAATTTTGAAATGGGTAGTCTAACATTAGAATTCATAAAAATTTAGTACTTTTTTCTTTCACATGAATATGAATCTGAAATCACAGTGTCACGGTCATGTTTGTCCAAGGTGTGTTGCCTATGGCCACATGCTCGTTGAATGCCAAAATTCTAGCTTCCTATCATGAAGTATAATTTCCTTCTTGTCTTTTCTAAGTGAATGACGTTTCGTCATAATCATATCTACACTTGGTAGACATGAAATACCCTAAAATGTACTACAGGGAAATGCGACAGTCATCAACTCCTTCCACCTAGATTTTGTATGACCGTTAAGCAAAATCACGTCTAAGCCTACCCGACCTGAATTGCCTCAAAATGTAATATAGGGGGATGCTACTAGGTGTCAAATTCTCCCTACCCAGAAAGTTATATGTTATTTAAGCCATGGTATTATATTTTGCTGGTAGTCATGTAACATTGTTTTCAATTTTTCACTCAATTTTGCTTTTCAAACTCTTTTTCAAAATCTCTCTGCCCGTTTTCTCAAAATGGGGCCAAAGACCTGAGCATACATTGCCCGACCATAGGTGACACAATCCTAAGTTGGCTTGACTCACTCAGTCCATAGAGTGAGTGCCGCACAATCGCGAAAATGCAATTGTGACGGCCTAAATCTACATCTTACCAGCCACCTCTGCAGTAACTTTTGGCAAATACATTCATCAAACAAAAACAAGTCCCATTTGGCAGAATCAAACAGCTATGGATTGCAGCAAGCAGATGAAATAGCAACTATGGCTAAAAACCCAGCTATTTTTCACAGAAAAGCTTCGTAGGAGATATAGAAAGAGAAAGGAATCTTACATTTGGGTCTAATGCAGGGGAGAAACTTGGAAAAGTCACCATCATCATGATCAGAAAGAGCCTGCTTCCACCCAGAACTGCTATCACATTCAAACAAGAAACTCCCATTACTAGAATCTTTACAGGTTTCTCATCCATAGTTCACTTCCTTGCAGACATTTTCAGCCATTATCAATTCAATCAAAACAAGAACAAACACTCTGTCCTTTCCAATCAAGTTCTCAAAAAAAGTTACCAATCCATTTCAGAAAAAGCCACAGAATAAAAAGGTGTACAAGAAAAGAAATGAAAAATCTTAAGTAACCCTAGAAAGAACAGCCATGAAAATACCAGAAAGGGGAAAAACTAACCGGAAATGGGTGAGAGAAGAGGAACAATGGGCCATCGAAATCATTAGCCATCGCAGATTGAGGAAGAACAGCGCTGGAAGGCATAACCCTCCAACGATCACAAAACAGAGATATGGCCATGTGGAGTTTTGTGATCGGACTTCAACATGGCTTTATGGTTGGCGGGCCTAGCAAATTGCATCTCCATTTCTGTATTAGTGAATCAAGAAACTTTGAAGAAGGAAGACGAAGCCTCTTGATTCTTCTTAAATGGGCCTTTCTCTCAATCTAGCTACCTAACCTTCTCATTTTTTAGGGCAACAAGTTTTAATTTTTGGAGATCCATTTTAATCTACATCTTTCATATGACTAAGTGAGATCTCATATATGTTCGAGACAGGAACAAAATATTAGTTAAATGTGAAAACATTTCTCTAGTAGACATGTTTTAAAATTACGAGACTCATACGTAATGGACTAAAGCAAACAATATCTACTTTCAATAAACTTGAGCTATTATAAATGATAGGTGACGTACTAGTAAGAATGTTGGCCCCTTAAGAGGAGTGGTCTGTGAATCAATTAGAATGAGAAACAAAACATTCTTTATAAGAATGGGGAAACTTCTAGTAAATCTGTGAGACTAACAACCATACTTTATAATGGGCTAATACGGACAATATCTTAGAAAAATCATTTATTCAAAATTTTGTTATTTATTTTAAAAATTACCTTTCAAATAATTAAAAATAATTAATTAGAGTTGGGTGGAGAATAAATATTGGAAAAAATAATTATGAAATTAATTAAAAATAAAATAATATAGATATTTTTTAAAAATCACCCAGTAAATTTAAGTTGATTCGGATTAACTCAATCTAGTTTTTAACTCAATCTAACTTAAACCGTACCGATTAAATTGAGCTGATGATCGAATTTTAATAGCTCTATTGAGAGACCGACACACACGTGGGTTGAATATTAATTACATGAAATTGAGAATAATGAAGAAAAGAAGAATTTGGAATGAGAGAGAGTTGAGACAAAATGGGGAAAGGAATCAAAGGATATGAAGTTAACATTCTTCAACCGACAAATCTTTCATTCACATGCAAAGAAATGGCGTTATGGCCCCATGAGTGCTGCATTTGAACTAAAATAAGTGAAATTTTTTAATCATCCTAAACCCTATTTTTCCACCCTATAATCAAACTTGATTAGGATGTTAGATCCTATGCTTCTCGTTTAAGCCAAGCCAAGAACACTTGTTTGAGACTCTAATCATTCCACGATCAAGATCGATCACATGCAACCTAAACTATATGGAATTACAAACAAACGTAGCCATTGCCTAGAAGAGAGTACAAACGCTCTTTTTACTACATTTTTAAGTGTAGTTTATTTAGCTTCAAAATGAAATTCTTGGGATAATGAACTATTTATACCGTGGTTGGGCTTAACCTTATTGGGCTAGTGACGATATTTTAAAGTAAGTTTCATGTTTTATAACTATAATCAGTAGGTGAACGTAACCTTAAAAGAAATAAAAAAAAATACTTATGTGGGCAGTTATGTCTAAAGTGAATATTACTACAGCGTTGCGAGATTTTAGTCTCGGGATCCGTTTAAGAGGGTTTGAATATGTGATTAAGGAATTATAAACAAGACTAAAGAGAGGATGGGATTTGGGTGGTTGAGTTGTATAGAGAAATGATTTATAGATTGGAAAGAAGTGAAGAATAAGACAAAGAGAAATGGAGACAAAATCTAATAAAAACATTACAACAAGTGAACAACCCATGTGAGTGAAAATTTAAAAATATACTAAAACTAAAAAAATTAATTTGTCATGGCCATGCCCACCATTTTCTGCCACATCACATTGTTCCATTTTCTACCAAACACTTTGACTCTCTCTCTCTCTCTCTCTCTCTCTAATAGATTATGGTAGACGCCGGTGTGGTAGTGTTCGAGTTTCAATTGCTTGAAGTGCACATGTACGAGTATGAAAATTAAGATTTGAAACGTGTGTGGTAGTGTTCGAGTTATAATTGTCTAAAATGCGCGTGCACAAGCACGAAAATTGAGATTTGGAGAAGGTGTGACAGTGTATGAGTTCCAACTGTTTGAGATGCACGTGCACGAACATGAAAGTTAAGATTTGGAAAGGGTGTGGTAGTGTTCAAGTTCTAACTGTTTGAGATGCAAATGCAGGAACATGAAAATTGAGATTTGGGACAGGTGTAGTAATGTCTGAGTTCCAACGGTTTGAGGTGCACATGCACAAAAATGAAAATCGAGATTCAGAACAGGTGTGATAGTGTTCGAGTTCTAACTTTCATATCAAATTACTATCATACTATTTCAAATCTCAGTTTCTATCCAACGGTATTTATGGAAGATTAAGCAAATGACAGAATTTGAGGATACTTATTGTTTAATCTTTCGGTTTGGACGTACCTTTATCGAGATAGAAATAGTTAGAAAAAGAATGAAATATCTTGATTATGTGAATCCCAATTTCCCAAATTGGATCCAAAAGGACAGCTCTCACATGCTTAATACTCATCTTTTACTCTTTTAACTTAACCCATGTCAACTCATTGCAGAAATGGGAAGTTGAGAAGGCAAAAAGACAATGAAATAGCAATATAAGGAGCTGGTCTTCAGTTCAAGAGAGATCTATAAGTATTTTGGCTTTCTTCTATGATGCTTGAGCTTACCTGAAGGGGGAGATGGGAAAGACAAGCAAATGGCTGAGGAACTTTCTGACAGGGAAGAAGGACAAAGAGAAGGAGCAGAATTCTTCGACTACTTCCGAGTATCCAGCTACCCCGATATCGATCCGACACAATTCTAAGGAAAAAAAACGATGGAGTTTTCGAAGATCTTCTGCTGCAGCGACGGCGGTGTCATCGAGAGATTCATTCCCGTTCCCTCTTGAAATGGTCAGCTCAATAATGCCGGTGGCACAGGCTGCAATGGATGTAGATTATGAGGAGAAAAAGCAAGCCGTGGCCATGTTAGTGGTGAAAGCTGCCGCTGCTGATGCTGCTGTGGCTGCTGCACAGGCTGCTGCTGCTGCTGCAATCCGGCTAACTGAAGTAGCCTATATGAAAGCTACTGCTATTGAGGAGGCTGCTGCCATTAAGATTCAATCAGCCTTCCGGTCTTGTTTGGTAAACTTTCTTTAAGATCCCACATTGGTTGGGGAGGAGAACAAAACACCCTTTATAAAGGTGTGGAAACCTCTCCCTAGCAGATACGTTTTAAAAACCTTCCCCTCGAAAAGGAAAGTCCAAAGAGGTCAATATCTGCTAGCGGTGTTACCATTTTACCAATCTCCTTGGTTTTCATGTTGTAGGCAAGAAAAGCACTCCGGGCATTAAGAGGATTAGTGAAGCTGCAAGCACTGGCTAGGGGTCACCTTGTTAGAAAACAAGCCAAAGCTACTCTCCGGTGTATGCAAGCGTTGATCACGGCCCAGGCTCGAGCTCGTGCCCAGAGGATCAGGATGATCGATGGGATGAAAGGATCAGTTGGTGACGATCATTTTGGTTATGGAAATCATGTAACTATCATTCTTCTGCTAAATCTTTCCCTGCAAAGTTAACTGAAAATAGCTTGAAACATCAGTGTTGTGAATGTAGGTTTCAGAGGAAAACATTAAGATTGTGGAGATGGATCATGGAGAATACAAACCAGGTTCCAAGAACAGGACAAGCTATGTTTCAGACCAACAACATGAGCGTAGGTTTCGGACTGATCATGTCTTTGCCACGCATCACTCGCACCTTGTCTCACAAGTACCATCGGATCTAACCGACATCGACGCACGAGGTTGCAGCAGCCATTTCGAGGACTACTCCATCTGTACCATACAAAGCAGCCCTCAAGATTACTTGGTCAAGTCTAAACCTGACCCCACACCAGAATGTATGCAATCTCTGTCCTTTGAGTATCCAATGTTCCCAAGTTACATGGCCAATACAGAATCTTCAAGAGCCAAAACCCGGTCACAGAGTGCGCCTAAGACGAGGCCTGCATCATTTGAGAGGCAGCCAAGCAGAAGGAAGGCATCAACCGATGGGAAGAATGTCCCAAAGGCCGCCGTGCTGATAAAACGATCGTCTTCTTTTGTGGGTTGTGGCACTCAAGACTTGCAGTTTCCATTGCTGATGAAGCTTGACAAGTCCACAGGCTCACTCCATAATAGTGAATGTGGCTCCACAAGTACAGTGCTCACTAATACCAACTACAGATCTCTCGTTGCTTGTGAAGTAAGTATCCAAATTCCTTTAAATCCAAACTAAGCAAATACAAGTTCACAAAAGCTCATGATTATGATCAACTTCTGATGGGGTTGTCTGATTGTTTTGTGTTCCTATGGCTGCAGGGTCATGGAAGCAGGTACTATTAAAGAGTTCTACAGCAGCTAAATAGTATATGTTCTCCCCATTTTGTAGTTCAAATTACTTCAACTTTGGATTAATGTTTAAAGAAGCGGGAAGCTTGCGATTATCGCGAGCCACCCTATATTTGTAATGGTTCCATGTCTAGAATCCAAGGAAAAGAAATGAAAATATGATAAGAACTCTTCGTGTAACAGTGACCTAGAACAGTATAACGATCCAAAAATTTTAAGTGCTTATGAAAAGTTAAACAAGGGCAAAATAAATAAAGTCGTCGTTGATAACAGTTCTTAATACTTAGAGTAAACAACAGCAATCATGTTTATGTTATTCTTGTTTCGTCGAAGCATACCGAGAGTTTTCCATCGATGAATGAAACCTAATAGCATTTCTTCAATGTTAATCTAGTCTTATCGTCACCAAAGAAAGGGATTCATCTTCATTCTTTTGCTAATCAATAAGAGAACAGCCATTGACAATGACAAACTGCAAATATGTTCTGAAAAACAAGAACATACCATGTTATGGGGAAGGATGATCCATCTTTAGCAATCAGAAAACGGCGATCCTTGCGATGTTACAAACTACAAGACGAAAAGAACTGTCGTAGAACCTGATGGAATCAAGATAGCTTAAGGGACTAAAACACTCAGCAACACTACATAACAAGAAAGCAGTCATACACAAAGAATCCCCATGGTCTGAAAAAACCAAAGCAGGTTCCAGTTTTCAAACTTTCCAAAGTTCATTTCTGTCTGGACAAGGTATGAATGTGAAACACTTGCAAACATTTTGGAAATAGCCTTCTAACCTCAGAGTGAAGGAAGATGTAAGAAGCTTTGTGGGTAATCACGAAAAGTTCGAACCTAATTCTGGCTGTAATGGATCTAAGTG